GCTAAACATATCTCTGCCATACAGTGGGCTGAAATTTTTTGCACAAAATGTTTTTCAGATGAAAAATAGATTATCCACCACAAAACAGGACTTTGCACAAAAAATTGTCAACATCTTCAAACTTTTCTGATTTTCAGTAATTATTGTGGAATATTTTAATCAATAATTTAATTAAATTGTATCAAAATCATTACTGAACATTTTTGTTTACCAAGAACATGGTTTTCTGTAAATGAAATGTTCGATGATTTTAAACAATTTCAATAAAAAATTCTATTAAAAACTGTTAAAGATGTCATGAAAACTTTTGCAACTCCTTCCCCCGCCCCAAGAAAACCCAACAACCAGAAAATAGGTCTGTTTTGAATTCTGGGGAAAAGAAACAATTTTAATATTTCCCACAAAACTTATTCCTCTCCCTTCTCCTCCCATGATATCTGCCATTTAGGGTAGACTCTGTCTCATATATGTGTCATGCTGAAAGCGATCATGATCAATCAAAACAAATTTGATCCAAATTTCACATCCAGATTGTTTAAATATTAACTTAGTTCTTTGATGCATTAAAAATCTCCCTCTTTAAAATGTGCTCTTTTTTGGTGTGATATTTTGATTCTCAGAGATTTTCTGCAGTGAAGAGTTAACAGCAGGTAATGTCATTCATCTTAGAAGCAGTTTGAAATTTTCTGTGTTAGTGATGAATGAGGGTATCTGACCCACATCTGTTTTACATTAGAATGGAACATTGCCCTGACATCGTTAGGAGCATTTGTCAAGATTCCCTGGACAGAGCTTCTGTAAATTACATGCTGCAAATGTGTCAGGGTCAGATAAGAGGATATCATTAACTCCACTAAAGTTTACTCATGATTCTGTCAGCTCAACTTAATACGTTAACTGCTAACAATTTTCCTTGAGCTGTTTCATTAAATCTTTTGTTTAGAGAAGGGTGAAAAAAAATGTATCACTGTACCCAAGAATATGACTCATGTTCTTTTCTCATAAATCATATTAATTGCAGGTATGGTCACAAAGCATATTAAATGCAGGCATGCGTAAATGAATTAAAACACATGAGAATTTTATTATGTCTATGGTGGGTCCAACCTACTAAAATACCAACCACATTAACTGGCATAATGTTTCATTTAAATGGAATAAGCTTTATCTCAGTTTAATGGGCTTTATTTTGTTGATAATAGATACATTTTATGTAATAGTTGATAATGGACCCAGTGTTGCCTACATACTTTTAAGGCTTTTATCAGCCACTTCTACTTATACATACTGAGGCATGACCTCAACTGGTGTGAATCTCTGTTGGCTTCAGTGGAACTACATTCATTCCCACAGCCGAGAATTTGTTGTAAAAAAGTGGAGAGGTTTTTTTGTGTTTAGTTTTTTGTTTGTTTTTGTTTTGAGGAAGGGTGGTGGAAATTGCTCAATAAAATGTTTCTGTCTATTGTCCTTGTTGCAGTTCACTGTATTTATTAGAAGGCAATTTTGTCTGGAAACAAGATTGAATTTAGAGATCCATAGTCTTAGAATATAATTGTCTACAAACTATGAATATTGTATTTTGCTATATTAACTGAAAGGCTATTTATCAGTTCAAGGATACTCCCGGTATTCCTTATCAAGCCAAACTTGAAATCACATGCCACATAGAAAACACTTGTTTTTTATTGTTCTACTTTAATCATGAACAAAATGTAGCATGTGGCCAAAACCTTAAGACTTGATTTTTGACCTCATTAAAATTCAGCATGAATAAGAACTGCAGCATTTGGCTCTAAAGACATAGGGCCTGAGCCAACACTCATTTAAGTCAATGTGAATCTTTTTATTGATTTTAATGGGAGCTGAATCATGCTCATAATGACTATGTAAATAATTTGGTTTTACACATTCAGGGCCAGACCCATTGTTGGAATAAATCCGTGTAGCTCCATTTACCCTGGAGGGGGGAGGGCAGGGGGGCTCTGCTGGTTTATATCAGTGGAGGTTCTCACCTTCAGCGCCCAGACCTGAAAGTAATAGAGTGCCTCCTGTGAGGTGCTGAGCGCCATCTACTTCATGGAGGGCAGTAGAAGTCGCAGCTTGCAGGATTGGACCTTTAATGGCTTTCTAATTGATTAGGTGAAAGTCATTCATGCCCTTCCTGTAACTCCTCGCATGGGTGATAAGGTCATGACACATACCATAAGAGAGACTTCTGCCTTTAGGCTACTTCCCTTATAGCTTTCAAACAGACATGACCAAAAATCTAATTATTTAGATGCTAATCAACTGCAGGATGATTCCTAAGGCTTCTGAAGAAGACATTTCTGAGAAGACAATTACTGTTCAAAATCAAATTTTTCAGCCTTGAAGATATAGTGCTGTCACTCTTGTCAAGATGGTTAAAGGCATCGGATTTATTAGGTGCATCTGCACTTGATTAGAGATGACTGACAACTTGAGTTAATCTGTGGTAAATTTTGAATGAGATCCCATCTAATACCAGTACATATCAACTTTCAGTGGCTATCTGGCTGGCAAAAGAGTAAATTTTCTAAAGGTGGGCCTGAACTAAAACACCAGATACAAGCACACCTGAAGTTTAGAATCTGATCCAAATCCCCATTTAAAGCCTGCTCCTTAGCACTATAATGGGTCACACCAAAACCCTGGATCAAAACACTCCCAAACTTTGGGTTGTTCATGATTTGCATCTAGGTCCAAATGTATCTTGGGCCCCTTTCTATTAAGAACAGAAGTAGAAAAAGTCAGAACTACTTTAAGAAGTAGTTTAAGGTGATGGGCATAAACACGTTCACCCAAACAGCCCTAAGGATCTTCGTTCAGGAAGCCACCACATCCCTGGGCCCATGTCGCTTCCCGCAGCCCCCATTGGCCTGGAACTGCGAACCACAGCCAGTGGGAGCCACGATCGGGCGAACCTGCGGACGCTGCAGGTAAACAAACCGTTCCAGCGGATTTCCCTGGCAGGCCGCGTGCAAAAAGTGCTGATCCCTGGGCTACACTACAGTTGCTATTGCAGCACAGCTTTGGTGGTAGCTATGTTGATAGAAGAATTCTTCCATCCACATTGCTGCATCTACATTGCGGGTTAGGTCATCCTAATCCCATCATGCAGAGCACGAATTTTTCACAGCCCTGAGCAACATAGCTAGGTTGGTCTAATTTTTAAGTGTAGATTAGGCCTAAATGTGCTAGCAGAAGGGAGTAGTTCTCAGAGCTGTGCTTGTCTTTACCATATGCTTTGAAAATACAGAAGTCCTTTGAAAAGAAACATACATCAAGCTGTAGCACAAGGAAGAAATTTGCAGAAATAAGGGATTTAGCAGCACAAGTACAATTAATTTGTGCTCCTAAATCACTTAGGTGCTTTTGTAAAATCTCTCCCTGAACTTCCATAGGAAATTCCAGCCAGAGGATTGACTTTTTAGATACAAGTACATGTTTTCAAGCAATCTAAAGTCTTTTTTTTTTTTTTTTTTTTTTACTGATCTTGACTTTCTGGTTAATTTCTTAACTACATTTATCTATAGGACGTTACAAGAGTCATTGGAGGCTTGAAGCCAAGCTAGAAAGAGAGCACTACTGTTGTTCTTTAGAGAGGAGTGAATTGGCTAGGGAGTTTGTGGCATGACTCTGACAACAGCAAGCACTGTAACCTTTTTCTTCTGTCAGAGGGGTAGCTGTGTTAGTCTGTATCCACAAAAACAACAAGGAGTCCAGTGGCACCTTAAAGACTAACAGATTTATTTGGGCATAAGCTTTCATGTGTAAAAAATCCACTTCTAGTATTCTTTACAGGCAAGCACATGCTTCATACCAGCAGTGCATGAGTTATGGGCGCTCTGCCCCTAGCCAGTAGACAAACTTTTTTGGGGTGCTAGGATCTTTCTCTGGCTCTGCATTTGGAGGGCTGCCTGTAGTACGTAGTGAACACATTGAACTGATGTTAGTTTTTGAAGCTGAACAAATGTTAATTAATAGTTTTGGGGGGAAGGGATCATTTGTTTGTGGTGTGTTTGTCCAGCACCTACACAGTGGAGTCCTGGTCCAGGCCTGGGGCTTTGAGGCAAATATAAATAATAATTAACTATTTTGCCTCATTGTTCAGTCAGCCCTAGAGTTTAGTTCCTGTTGGGAACTTTTCATCAATATAATTACAGATTATTTTCCCCACTCTTCTAAAGCAAAAATAAATATTTGATGAAAACAAGTTTACAATGACATCATAGGGGGAAAAAAGAAGAAAAAATAATTTATATAAAGAGATGATATCTAGGAAAAAACGGCCCCTTAGAAAAGAGGAGCTGTTTATATGGTCAAGTTGACTAGAACAGTCAGTGGGGCTCGATTTCATGTACTACCCCATTTCAAAGCTCCTATGTTATGGTTTAAGAGCCTCAACATGGGAACCTAAGATATCCCTAATTAATTATGCATTTTTAAATTGGCCATATAAATACCTCACTCTTTTCTAATGTGGCTACTTTTATAGTTATTTCTGTTCTGGCTGCACTGTTTGTTATCAAGAATACACAATGGCTTGGGTTGGAGAATAAAGCATGATGAAGATTTTGTGTTTGGGGAACAGCATCATAAGAAAACTTGGACTGTGACTGATGATCTATTTTCTCTTTTTCTTTTTTATCATCATCGAGTTCCCAATGAATAAACATCCATAGGAATTCCAGCTGTGACGTGATCAGACATTTTAAGAGCATAAAAGGTGGTTTGTTTTTTTGTCCCACCTATATGCCTGTACATTATTTTTTCTGGAATGCCAGCCATAAGTTACTATTTAGATGCATGATGTAACTCTTTTTCCTCTTTGAATTAGGAACCCGAAGTGCAGGTTAAATACCAAGTAATAGATATCATGGGAAATTAAATAACAGACACTAGTTGTTCTTGCAGCTCTATATGAAATATAGTTCTTCATGCATTTTAACCTTTATTTGTTACTATACGTTTTATTTTAGGTAATGGGCCTCCTGACTAACCATGGTGGTGTACCTCACCAGCCCCAAACTGATTATGCCCTCTCACCCTTAACTGGGGGCCTAGAACCAACCACTACTGTATCAGCCAGCTGCAGTCAGAGACTAGATCATATGAAAAGTTTAGATAGCCTGCCTACATCACAGTCCTACTGCCCACCAACTTACAGCACCACCGGATACAGTATGGACCCTGTCACAGGATACCAGTATGGACAGTATGGACAAAGTGAGTACCAGGTGGATATTTATGTTGTGCAATGACTGGGTCATATCCTTAGTAAGGTAACTGTCTAGCTACAGTATATTTTTCTTCTTGTAACAAAGGAAATGGGGAGGATTGATTCTAACCTATGACTTTTTCTTCTCTTCATAATAGAACTATGTTTGCTGCTAAGATAACTGATTGTTCAAGCAAGATTTCTGCTGCATAATTATTTTCTTAAGTGATGTCAACAACATCTTGATGTTATTAATTGTTGAGACATGAAACCTGATTGCCATTAGGTAAAACATAAGGTTTGTCCAAAATGAAATAACCACTGGCATTCCAGTATTAGAAACACATGTTTTTAATGAGGTCAGCTCAAGAATCATTATAGTATATAATCCCAGATACATGGAGTTTTGTCAAACTTGTCCCAGGAATAAAAATATTAGTCCCTTTCCTTTGATATATTTGTATTAAATATGACAATGTCAACCTGTAGTTGACATTGCCCCTTACTGTGGGGTTGTCACAGCATGACTTAAAGAACTTCTTTTGCTTTCTTACAGGTGCCTTTCATTATCTGAAGCCAGATATTGCATAAATGAACTGTCCACTTCAAGTTAAAGCTTGTCTTGTTTCTGGTCTCACTCCAGTGCTTGGATGGGAGGGATCTTCTCACCAAAATGCAACCCAAGCTGGGGCAATCACAATAGAGATACAGGATCATTCTGTTCTTTTCTCCCGTCATTGCTTTCGATAGACATTTGGACATGTTGGACGTAACAGTTCAGAAGACAAAGACCAAGAGCAATAAAAAAATAAATAAATACAACACAGTTCAGCGTGGGCAGGTATAAAAAATGCTGAAGAATTTAAAATCACTGACTGACAAAGCATTCCATTTTATGTTGCTGAAAAAGCATGTATTGATTTGGACAAACAAAATATTCTAAAACGTAACAGTTGAGCTCTGCAAACTCAGACTCTTGACATCCGATGCTGACTTTATTCTAACTTTAAAACTGCTCAGTTTCTGAAGCATGAGCAGGAGAACATTTTGATTTTACACACTGGAAATTGACATCAAGAAGAAATGTCATGGTCTGTAGGAAGCTAGGATAGATGTAAAAGACTTCCAGAACAAGTTAATGGTTATCTTATCATTCTTTTGTAATCATGTTGTCAAGAAATGTCACATACAAGTTTTGCTTTACAATGAACATGTTGTGTAACATGAAGAAATTTTTTTGCAATTTGTGTGTGTGAAGTTTTCCTAATCCATGTTACGTTCTGAAACAAACAAGGAAAAGGAAGCAACAACAACAAAACAAAGTGACTTTGATTTCCACAACTGCCTAACAATGTGCAATACTGTGTACCTCACACAAGCTTTGGGATCATCCAAAGTGATATAGATAGAACTATATTTTTGCAGGTACTTTTATTTTTGCAGTACATATTTCATTATGATAAAATGCAGAAGTGGTGCAGTCCGCAGTACAACAGAATCTGGCTCACGAGTCATGACCATTTTCAGGAAACAATACATTTGAAATGATTACGTTTACATTCTCTTTTAGTGATGTACAGGACATGAACAGAGATGTCCCTGTATCTGACATGTACTTTTAAATTATACAGTGATAGCTAATATAGAAAAAATAATAATAGGAACCGAGGTTTACATAAGTTTGTGTTGTGACATTTTAGAATGTCAATAAATTTGTGTTTTGAAATGTTAAGAGGAACAGGAAGATGGGAGGCAGTGTTATTTATTTCTCTTTATTCTTGGAACAATGAATGAGGTAGGACACATACATTCCTTTTAGCATTAAGGACTATGAAGTAGTGAGATAGTGAGACTAGGTGTAGTACAGAGATTAGTTCACACATTGGTCTTAAAAGGTGATGGAACAAAAGAAATATTATCTTTGTGTTGCAGCCTCTACCAACAACACATGTGTTGTAAAAAAAAATGTCTTTCATGTAAAAAGTGCAGTAAATATTTACTATTTATAATGAATAAACAGTTATGAAGACTTGCAAAGCACTGATTATTTTGTCCTAAACTGTGGTATTGTGCTAAATATATTGATACAATTTAACCTGGCTATCACAAAGGGGAAAAAAAATGTTATCTTCAATTCAAACTGTTTTTATTATATAAGCACTCCGCACACATTTAAGACAGGGCTGTCCATAGGCAGCCTATGAGCCCCACGGGCTGTTTGTATGACAGACTCATTACTACACTATGCGTTTTCATGTGGCATTTTGCAAAGTATGTATCCCATACTGCAGCAGGAAAGCATTGTGCTTTTGCCAGACCTGCATAAGGAAAGACAGAGGTGAGCCTGTGCCTGGGCGGTAGGGATGTAGGGTGGGGGGTTGGGTTCAGGGTGGGTGCAAAGGGTGGGGTGGGGGTTCAGGTTTGGGGTAGGGGAGCAGCTCTCTTGGGATGGTTTCACAAAATGCAGAGTCTCAATTTGTAATGGTTTTGCAGTCTACGTGCTAAAACGTATGTTTCCCAAGAGAAGAATCAATAATTCTAATTCAGTATTACACACAAGTAGATTGCAAATGCAGATTTTTTTAATTGAAATTTCAAATGTATGAGTTTCTTATTTATTTATCAGAAGGGTTGGTTAATAAATAGAATTGAATTTGGAAAAATGAATTTTTTACACTTCATTCAAAAAATTTCAAATTATTTAATGAAAAATGTTTAAATGAAATATAACATTATTTTTAAAATAGTATAGTGGGGGAAGTTCTCCCACTTTTCCATACTTTTTTTTCTTTTACTTTTATTTCACTGGAAGGGGAGGGGAATTGTAAAATAAATTGAAAAAACTCTGGTTATTCTAGATGCAAGTGGGAAACAGTGGCTGTAATTACATTGTTGCTTCTTCATATATGCTACCATTGCAGATCATAGGATCATAGGACTGGAAGGGACCTCAAGTGGTCTAGTTCAGTCCCCTACACTGAAGGCAGGACTAATTATTATCTGGACCATCCCTGACAGGTATTTGTCTAACTTGCTCTTAAAAATCTCCAATGATGGAGATTCCACAACCTTCCTAGGCAATTTATTCCAGTGCTTAACCACCCTGACAGTTAAGAAGTTTTTCCTAATGTCCAACCTAAATCACCCTTGCTGTAATTTAAGCCCATTGCTTCTTGTCCTATCCTCAGAGGTTAAAGAGAACAACTTTTCTCTCTTCTCCTTGTCACAACCTTTTATGTACTTGAAAACTGTTATCATGTTCCCTCTCAGTCTTCTCTTCTCCAGACCAAACAACCCCAGTTTTTTCAACCTTCCCTTATAGGTCATATTTTCTAGACCTTTAATCATTTTTGTTGCTCTTCTCTGGACCTTCTCCAATTTGTCCATATCCTTCCTGAAATGTGGTGCCCAGAACTGGACACAATACTCCTGTTGAGGCGTTAGCACAGAGTAGAGTGAAAGAATTACTTATTGTGTCTTGCTTACAACACACCTGCTAATACATCCCAGAATGATGTTTGCTTTTTTTTTTTTTTTCTACAGTTTTTCTCATATTTAGCTTTTGATCCGCAATGACCCCCAGATCCCTTTCCACAGTACTCCTTCCTAGGCAGTCATTTTCCAGTTTGTATGTGTGCAACTGATTGTTCCTTTCTAACAGGAGTACTTTGCATTTGTCCTAGTTGAATTTCATCCTATTTACTTCAGACCATTTCTCCAGGTTGTCCAGAGCATTCTGAATTTTAATCATATCCTCCAAAGCACTTGCAACTCCTCCCAGCTTGATAGTGTCCGCAAACTTTATAAGTGTACTCTCTATGCCATTATCTAAATCTTGATGAAGATATTGAACAGAACCTGACCCAGAAATGATCCTTGCGGGACCCCACTTGATATGCCCTTCCAGCATGACTGTGAACCACTGATAACTATTATCTGGGAATGGTTTTTCAACCAATTATGCACCCACTTTATAGTAGCTCCATCTAGTTTGTATTTTCCTAGTTTGTTTATGAAAAAGTTATGCAAGACGGTATCAAAAGCCATACTGAAGTCAAGCTATGCCACATCTACCACTTCCCCACTATCCACAAGGCTTATTATTCTGTCAAAGAAAGCTGTTAGTTTGGTTTGACATGATTTATTCTTGACAAATCCATGCTGACTGTAACTTATCACCTTATTATCTTCTAGGTGTTTAAGCAATGAATTTGCAATTATTTGCTCCATCATCTTTTCAGGTACTGAATTTAAGCTGACTGGTCTGTAATTCCCCAAGTTGTCCTTATTCCCCTTTTTATAGATGGGCACTATATTTTCCCTTTGAAATCTCTCCCATCTTCCATGACTTTTTGAAGATAATCGCTAATGGCTCAGATATCTCTCAGTCGGTTCCTTGAGTATTCTAGGATGTATTTCATCGGGCCCTGGTGACTCGAAGATGAAGCACCATGAGCTCTCTTCTGTTATCCTTATATTTCAGCACCATCCTCTTCCTGGAGTTTCTCCTCCTCAGTTACTGTAGCTTTGCAGGAACTGTCTGTGATTTCTCCCTTTCCTCCATCACTGAAGTGCTGGTGACAGAGTGCTTTCCTGACCTGAAGCTAAAAGACAGGCATTTGAGCTGACTCCATCTTAATTTGCTCTGTCACTTGGCTCTTTTGTTCTCTGCCCCCAAGCACTTCATAATACAATAGATTTATGCAGAGAAGGAGAGCTAGAGACAGCATGGCTGAGCAGAAAGTCAACCAGCCCACTCACATATCCTTGGAAACAGGGCATTGGGATGAACAGTCCTTAAGGAAGGGAGGAGCAGGGGACATAGAGGCTAAAACCAGGAATCTCCTCCCCAAATTAGGAGACTTAAGATGTGCCTACTGAAATGCTTGCCAGAAGTGCTCATAATTATGTGGATCCTTTGTCTATCTACATAGGTCTTGTGTTATACTAGCTTTTTTGTTTTTGTTATCAAGTTCTAAGCAGAAATGGTTCTGGAGGGCCATACATGCAGCCAAAATATGAACCCCAACCACCTGGAAGGTAAAACTGATACCAACTATGAACACTGCTTCAGTTTGCTTTTGGAGATAGCAAGTATGAGCTAAAGATTTTTTTGTCCATATAAATAAACTGACTACATATTGTGTAATATGGAGTCCATTCCTGGATCCCTATGTGCAGCGGATGACCAATCAATTATTTAATAGATACCAGAATTCAGAAGAATTTCTGATCTAAAGATGAATCAAGAGCACAGCCGTGATCTTTAAGAAACTACCTTTATGCTCTATGACATCATCCAAACTTTTCATATATTTTCTTTCTTTCTTTTCTTTCTTATTTATATGTTGAGTCACCACCAAAAAAATCCTTGCAGCTTGGTACATATTTGATTTGGTGTCTATGTTAATGCCTCTTTACTTATTTTTGTTGTTATTTTTGAATAAGCTGCACTGGTTATATGTTTTTAAATGGTGTCAATTTTCCATTTGTTTTTCTGGGCAGTAATACAGTGGTCACCATTCAAATAACCTACATTTTCCAACAGTTTTTGCACAGTGGTCTCTGGAAGCCAAAATTTTCCACTGGAAACAAATACAATATTTGAGATACAACAGTGTGGTAAGTGCTGGTAAATGTTAACACTGTTGTAGAGAGGTTTTCAGAGATATGAATGGCCATTAGCAGCTCCTTGAAAGTCAACGAGCGTCAGGCACCTACCCACAATTTATGTGTTTGAAAATCTGTGTGTGTGTGAGAGAGAGAGTGAGAGTGATTTAGGGCCA